TCCCTGCCCCCCCCCCCCCCTTCCAACTCCCTGCCTCAGCCACTTCCATCCTGCTGCTCTCCCAGCCCTGGTGCAGGGCAGGAGGGAGGTCTGGGTCTGGCCGACTCGTGTCTGTGGGAGGGCAGCTGGTTCCTGGGGTGTGTTTTACCCGTAGGTGCCACAATCCTTTGACTGTGTGTTCAAGAGCCTTGAGTCTATACATTTAAGAATCAGGAAATTAGAAAAATTGTCCTGAAATGTTGGAGGGAGGAAAAAGGCAGGAAGGCAGAGAGGGATGAGGAAGGGAAGGAGTTGCTAAAAGAGAGTTCATCCAGGGGCACTGCCCTGGCTTTACGCCCATCACCTGCAGGCTGGGAAGGAGGGAAGAAGGCAAGGATGGAAAGGGAGGACTGATCTCACACATTCAGTGCATATCATACAATCAGGGCAAGGCTTTCCTCCCGGGCTCCTGCCTGGGATGGCATTGCTGCCATAGACATTCTAGGGCCCTGCCCAGCCAGCAGCCCAAACCACCCTCACAGCAGGGTGACAATTCACTGCCTCATTCCTTGGGGGAAAGATGCACCCTCCTTTCTTTTGTTCCTTCTTTTTTTAAATTATATTTTTAGGTACTTTTTTCTTCCTTTTTTTTTTTCTTTTTTTTTCCCTTTTTTTTTTTTCTCATAATATTCTGTAACAGCAGCTTCTTTCCATATTGGTGTAGAAGTTATATATATAGAGAGATATCTATAAATATATATATAAGCCAAACTGCCTTACAGGTTGTTGGTTTATGGGATTTTTGTTGGTTTACTTTTTGTTTTGTTGGTTTTTTCAGTGTTGTATGTGTAGCAGGCACTTGAGTTTATATGAAGTTGTTTGCTTGGGAGCTGAGGGGCAAAGGTCTTGGGAGGGGTAGAGGGAAGGAAAAACGGAAGGAAGGAGCAGGGACTTTTGACAAGTGGCCACTGCTAGCCAAGGATGTCCAGGTAGATTGGTGTGGCCTTGCCCAGAGCATGAAGGATCTTGTAGATCTCCTTGATGTTGAGCCTTTGCTGAGGTTCTCTCTGCCAGCATCCCAACATGATGTCATAAACCTCCTTGGGGCAGACTCGAGGCCTTTCCAACACTCTGCCTTGGGTAATGCACTCAATGACCTGAAAGAAAGAAAAGAGGCACTAAAGACCAGTTGGGCCATTCCTGGAGGATGGGCCATCCCAGCTACTTGTTGGCTGTTGTGGTACAGTTTAAAGAGTGGGTGCAGAGAGGTCTGCAGATCCTCAGGGCTTACCTCTTTGTTGTGAATGATAATTTTACAGTGGAATGTTTGTCTTTGCAGTTCCCAAAAACCTTCCCCAGCTGACATCTACCTACCTCAGTGCACTCTCCAAACAGGAGTTTATAAGAAAAGGAAATGAAGTTTTAATTTATTATGTCAGTTTTTCCTGCTAACTGAAGAAGGAAAAAAGAGCCTTTAAATCCCCAAACTAAAGTAATATTTTGCACAGCTGAAAGTATTTTTTTCTCCCCTGAAAGTCAAGAGTCTTTGCCACTGCAAAGCCCGGGAGAATTCTGAAAGGAAGAGTTTAGAGAATTCTTATCCTACCTCCATCTTCAAGGGCAGATTTGCCTCATTTTTGACACAGAAAAGCAGCTGAAAGAATGAAATTTCATCTCAAATAACATCTGTGATGGACAAAAAAAAAAAAAAAGCAGTGCTAACACTCTGGTTTGGGTCAGGTCAGTGCTGCTAATGAGAAATGTGAGGTCTTGGACAGCATTGAAGTCTCCTCAGCAGGATGCCATTGGAAAGGATGCCCCTAAGTGCCTGCTTGTGTTGTGCTCACCAGAGGAATGGATGCAAAGGGAAGGGGGTTATGGTTTGTCAGAGCTGCTATTTCTGTCCAGCCCCCTTAGTTGGAGTTGATGAGTCCCAGCATCGTAGCCTGCAAGTGACCTGCCACCCTGCAGATAAACACAGATCCCAAGCAGTGTGTGGAAGGAAACCACCCAGCAAGGGCTGCTTGGAATTTATCATTTATGAATAGTAACATTCCTGCCACACAGCTCAATGGATACTTATCGCTTTGCTGTTTGCATATAAATACAGAGGGGACAGATTAGGACCTGCTGATAACTGGGGGAGGAAGGTAGAGCCTGCAGAGAAAGAAGCCTGCATCACCATAAAGCAGCCAGCAGTAGTGACCTGTGGGAGGAGGTGAGTTATAGTTTCTGACAGGATACCCTGGACATGCACAGGAGCCCCATGTTGGGCTCTTTCTTTACAGGACAAAGGAAGGGCACAGACAGAAGTTAATGGACTGGCTTTCAGCTGAGGTGGTGCCCTGCCTCATCTCTCTGCTCAGGCAAGGTCTCAAACAGACCTGCTAAAAATGCTGTGTGGATATGAGGCCATGTGGCTGCCACAGGCAGGAGCAAGCATCTCAGCCTTGCTAATGCCCACCCCCAAGCAGGACAGTGCTCAGCCAGTCCTGGCAGCCCAGCACACACTCATTCAACCTGCCCCTTCACAGGTCTCTGTAGCTGCAGCCAGGCTGATACTGAGACTTGCTCTAATGCCTCATCATCCAGGAGCTGGTGGATGTGTCAGTCCCCTGCAGCCACCCAGGTCCTGCCCACCAGTCCACAAACTGGTGAAAACTAGGCCAGATGAGTGCTAATGTGGCTTCCTTCCACCAGGATAGTGTGGTTTGGAGTAGAAGTCTTCAGCTCACAGAAAGAAGTGGATACAGCAACAGAAAAGGAAAATCAAGGTTTTCTATGGATGTTGGAAAAGCCAACACAGATGCATTCATGCAGATTTTATCCAGTCCTCCTCCCTCAAGATTAGGGGTGACAATTCTCAGTCCTCTTGCCCTGCAAAGGGAACTGAGGCAGAATGCATGGGGGCAGCTGAGCTGTCACATTCTAGCATGCCTATCACCCATGTACAAGCTACATGTGCTCATTTGTGTGTGTTTGTATTTACCCTCCCAGGGAAAAGCAAGAGCAGCTCATTAAGCACCATGACAAATAACTTCTGTAGCTGTCGATTCCATTGTTTGTGTCTCTAAGATGTCTGTGTGTGCTACTTTGGGATATACAGTCAGGCCCCATTGAGCACACGAATGTATTAGAGCTGTAAAGCAACACCTTGGATTTGCCATCTCTGCAACTCACTTAATTAAGGGATCTGTATCCAGAAAGCAGAAAATGCACATTTCTCATTACAAAAGGTGAAATTTCTGAAATCCATTAGATACACAGTAGGATAAAAATATGCAAGGTTCCCACACACTGCTATCTCAATGCATCTTGTTCCTCCTCTATAATATCCCCTGCTATTCTGAGCAAAAATCTTCCAATGCATTTCTGCTGATGTGCCTCAAACCTCAGTTCTGACACTCTGTTAATCCTAGCCAGCCTTCCCTCAACGTTTTTACAGCACAGCCCTATGCTGATGGGCTGCAATTTTTGCTATTCAAATAAATAACAAGGATGAACCAGCTCCTTGGTTCCCACCCTAAATGAACTGGGGCAAACCAGGTAATAGATTTCCCTAGGGGAAGAAGCCCCACAAAAATGTGCCAGGTGCTATATAACAGGCTTCAAGCACTTTCTCATAAACTGAAGACTTCAATAAGAGCCTCAGCTATAAAGTGAGGAAAAGGAGAGCTGAGGGAATGCAGGACATGGCAATAACTTGGATTCCAGCAATAATTTAGGTGTCCTCTGTTCTGGCAGCACCCCAAGATTTTATTGGATGTGACTGTTATAGAGTAATGTCAGGAATTTAGGAGAGACTGAGGATGTGCCAGTAGAGTACATGGCTTTAGCAGAGCACTTTGATTCCTGCATGCCTCAGTTTCTCCAGCTCATAAATAGGGATAACGACACTTGTGCCACGATGGAGCCACAGGAGTGCCAAGGAGGGGACCATCTATGTACAAACTGTTTTCCAAGCAACCTGGAAAGGAGAGAGAGTAAAAAGCACAGTTTTCAGCTGAGGTGTCTCAGCACTGTCGTACCTCTGTGTTGGAGAGCTGAAACCAGGGCTGTTTTCCATACGTGAAGATCTCCCAGAGGATCACCCCAAAGCTCCAGACGTCACTCTCTGTCGTGAACTTCCTGTACATGATGCTCTCTGGAGGCATCCAGCGGATGGGCAGCATAGTGTGTCCTCCAACCTGGGTGAGGGCAAAGGCACAAACAAATCTGAGTAATGAGGAAGGAGTCAGCCCTGCCGTGATGTGGACAAACTCAGGGCTTCCCTGTGGCTACATCAACATGGAGCTGTTCAAAAAAGCTGGGCTGGCCACTGCCTCCCTGCCCGCCCATGGGCTTACCCGCCAACCCCACCTGGTTAACATGATGGATAGGGAGTGAAATGTATCAAGATAAATGATGTCCTCTCCTCCCAAAATGGGCTTGTAAAGAAATCAGATGACAAAATGCCAAGAGCATGTACTCCAGCACTACAGTCTGATGATCCAGGAGGCAAGGCAAGAAACAGTGTTCAGCAAAGTACTGTGCTGAGTTTTGCAGGTCCTGGGTGCTCTGAGGCACCCACCAGAAACACAGCATGAGGTTTGTCCCTCTTCAGCAAGCTTTTCTAAAAGCCATGCACAGGCATCTGCACATCACCTAATTGCATGAAAGATTTTGTGCTCATAAAGCACTGCTACAGGCCTTTTCAAAGAGTGCTTTGAATATGTAAATGACTGCAGGACCACACTGCAAAAAGGCGGTCTGTTTTTAAAGAGCAGGCTCTTACAGGCAGGGATATGCCCAGCATTTAATGGAGGCAGGAAAGCCAGCCCCTTTGGAGAGTTTGGAAATGGAAGAGTCCATGAGCAAAGTCCTTTTGGGGAATTCCATGCCAGGGAAAGGTCCTTTCCCAGTCAGGGTCTACCCTTCACTAGGGCACGTGAATCCAGCAGGTATACAGCAGGTTTGCAGGATACATGCAGTTTGAAAGCAGGCGGATTTATCTTCAGATTCTCTAGAGATTTTTAAACAAATGCCTCTGAGCGGGACAAGTTTTTCTCTGTTCTATCTTTCTACATAAGAAGCACCATCTGTGGAGAAATAACTAATTGATAAGACTAGCAGGTGCTAGAAGCAGCACGGCTGCAAGTCTCCAGGACTCATTTCTGCAGAGGGCAAAGTGTGCAAAGTTTTAGTGATGATGAGAAAGAGTCCTTTTTGGGTACTGCTTGGAAGGCTGCCTGTGCCATTATGGACACAAAAAAAACCCACAAGTGCTAATAACTTTGTAGCACTGCAGCTGAACCAAACAGGCAAAAATCTCTCTGGTCTTATGACACATCAGGGGAGAAGGTATCTGGTAGCTAGGCTTCCAGCGTATATGTGGCTATTCAAAATGATGAGATTGTGGTGTTTACTTGCATGAAAATGTTTCTTGTACAAACAGAAGCTCTCCTCTGAGCTGCCAGTTTTCCCAGCCTGCCACAGGCTTCTTTCCTTGACTACAGCAGAATGAGCGTGGGGAAGGGTCAGTATGAAGCCACACTGCAGTGCTTGGAAGCAAGAGGGACAGAGCTGGGGAGGTGTGTTTGAATAGGGTGCGAAGTGGGTGTGGTGCTTAGCAGGCTCTATGCATGGAAGGTGCAAGTTAGACTTCTCTGGTGTCTGGCAGAATCTGGACCCAGGCTTGCAGTGTTGCTCCAAGGTCTGCAAACCAGCCCTTTTTCTAACTAAGACCGCCTCATCCTACAATGAAAGAGAAGGGATTTTAAAGGTCTCAGAAACATCTTTCCTAAGTGCAGAGGTGCTCAGAACTGTGATGCATGAAGATAAAAAGCTTGTTGCAGCTCTGCACCTCCTGTTGGGAAATGGCTTGGCTGGCCTGTTCTCAGCTTGCTTCTCAGAGCTTCCAAGAATGTTCTCTCATAGTGGAAATGGAAATGTGTTTTTCTTTGTTTTTTCCTTTGAAACCCTGGCTGCAATTTTAGCTCTTTCCAGCATTCCCAGCTTTTACAAGTTGCTTTCAGATGCCTTTGTGAAAGGCTCTCCACAAAACATAATATACATCAACATTAATTGTTGCAAAAACTCTTTTGTGCTAATGCTTTTTCTGTTCTCCTTTAAATAGCACTAACTCTTCAGTTTTCCAGCAATCTCAAAATTGTGATGTATTGCAAAGCACTCTAGATTTGCAATATCTAGAATCTTGCAGGATCATTTGAGATTACAGGTGGTACAACACGTTGAGCACTCTTAACTCCCCTTTGAAAAAGTCTTACAGCAGTTCAGAGTCTATGAACCAGGTGCCCAGCTTACACAAACAGTATTAAAGTAGTTTTGCTTGAATGGGAGGGCCCTGATTTACACCTCGTGAAAATCTGGACCAGAAAGCAAACCAGAGAAGCCAGTAGTTCCATCTCAGTTCCAATAAAATAAAGCAGAGGTCTTTGGTCTCCTCTAGACACATCCTGGTGAAGTACTGCCAGTCAATGGCTGTGCCAAGAATGTGACAACACAGTCTTGGCTTAGCTTATATTTTCAGAGTCCAGAGATGGCCAGAGCATTCCTCTCAGCCCTGTAAGTCATGTGAGGCATCTCTTTTACTAAAAAAATAATCTGTTGATCATTAATAGTAATTATTATTAATAATAATTCATAACAATCAAACTATTTCTTGGGGGGGGAAAAAACCTAAGCAGCTCTCAGAAATAATGGATCAAAAAATAGGGCTCAGCTATGCTCATAGATAAGGAAGTGTTCTTTGCATCTCAAAAGAAGATGCCACATTTTGAGAGGGAATGTTAAGTAAGTCTTGCACTTCCCAGCTAGCTGTAAGCAGAACAGGCATCAATTAAACTGTAACATAAAACCACTCCAGTGTCTAGCTTAGCACATAAGGCTGACTTACATTTGTAGGCATCATCTTTGGCTATGCCATACTGCTCCCATTGCAAAGTGAGTAGGATTAAAATTCCCATTTAACAGATGAGAAAACAGATGCAGAAAGGCAAGGAGAGAGCCTGCTCTGAAGCTGCTTGGTAAGTGAACACTAAGTCAAGACTTCCCAGTCTGCAGTCAGCTGTACCCTTTTATTTGCTGATGTGGACAATTATTTAGAGCTGAGAGTAGAGGGATTCTGCTACTGATGCCATAGGAAGCAGAGTGTGTCCAGGGTGAGAGAAATCCTTTACATAACATGTAGTGGCTGTGATAGGTTCTACACCAGCATAGACTTGCATATGATTCCAACCACTACATACCTCTTTTACAGGACCAGCTGTTGCCAAAAGCTTTAAAGCAAAACGATGCTATTAAATCAGGCTAAAATAAGAGGATGTTGTCTTTTTCTTTTGCAAATCTAGTTTACATGGCATGTCCTTGGCTCTGTAAAGAATCAAGTTATCATGTCTTTAGAGAGAAGACGAAAGTCATGCCATCTTCCCATCCCACCTCCCCTCTGTTCCCCTTGGGAGCCAGGGATGGGGGAGTCCAGCCATCATGAAGGTTCATCTTCTAAAGGCCCCTAGGAGTGAAATGTCCTCAGACAGTGGCACTGCAACATCTTCCCTCCACAGACATTTTACAAAATGGAAGAGGGATTTTCTTTCAAGCAAATAAGGCAAGTAAATCCTCTTCTGTTGCTCCTTTAAATCCTAGGATGCTACCAAAGTTGCCCTTTCCCCTTCTTACTTTAATGCTGCATAGACCTGCAGAGTGGCCTCTTTATCCCATTGCCATGGCTGTCTAGCTTCACTTGACATTTTTTAGCTCTCTAACTTTCTCTCCCTAGATCAATTCCCCGTGCCCACATTGCCGTGTTATTGCCAGTGCCTTGCTCTTCCAGTTTGCAGTACTGTTCTGGTAATAAATAGAGCAATCAGTTCTTATCCTCGGCAGGGCCAAAGTTTCTTTCCTCTGTCTCCCTTTCAAGATTGCAGTATCACCTACTTGTTTCCATCACTTTCTAATGGATACTCCCAAGTGCATGACCTGGTCTACAGCCCCATCTTTCTGATACTCCAGAGCACCTGGCCTCTGCTCTGAACCCTCGTTGCACATCCAAGCCTGTAGACTTGCAAGATAACCAGCCGCTCCCTTTGAGCAGCTTATTGCTTATTAGATATGAACCTCAGGGAGCTGGGGGAGGTTGGTGAAAGGCCAGCATTAATGGCCATTAGGGAGAGAGATAATTACTTAATGCTAGTACAGCTCTTTGACAATGTAAAGCTATATAAGTGCTGTGTACAAGTAGGAGTATAAGGCTCAAGGTTTGTCTGCTACCAAGGAAAGCTGGTGTCTGGGGAAAAAAAACCTCTCCTTGTCCCAGCTTTCTCAATGACATCCAGCTGATTAGGAAGGGAAAAGATAACATGTTATCCCCAGCGAGTTTGTCAGTACAGCAGCAGGTAGTGGAGCAGCAGGGTACAGCGGAGACTGTGCAATATACCCACAGTTTCGGCCACTAACAGAAAAATGGAAATCAATACCAGAGCAGGACTGAAAAACCCTCATGAGAACTTTGGACTGGTGGAAATCCAGATCCTAACATATTAAAGGCAGCTCTTGGTAGGCAGCCCTGTTTCCCCCTTCCTTAGTAGCTCTATGCTGTAGCCTAAAGTAGTATTCAGAGAGAAGTTGCTGAGCTCACAGCTGAAGGTTGCTTCATGGATCTCAGCTAAGAACAGAACTTGGTCTCTGGCATACTCTAAGGCTGTGTTTGATTTTCCTTTTCCTGCACTTTCCTTCCCAACTTTGAAATAAGACAAAATAATAGATCGGTGCTTTTGTTTTCCTTAGTCATTTGACATTTGCTTTTCAAAATCATTTGATAGCTTTCTTCCTGGTCCCTGCATGCTTCAGGGAGGTTCAGCTCCTGCCTTGGGGAAGTCAGAAGAACCACCATAGGTGTCTTCATATGATGCAGCATTATCTGAACTTCACATCTAAGTGCAGGAAGCTGAGACATTTGAGTTTGTACAGACTCAGGGAACAGTAGTGAAGACCTTGGCATTGTTTCTCTCCAGAAAAATCCACTCAACACTCAATCCACACGACCTAGTGACTAAGACACATTCTCTGATTGCTGTCTCTATTCCT